ATTATTATGGGACTGGGATACATTGTCGTTACATTATAAAAGATAGCGTTAGTCATGAAAGACAGCTGAATTGAACAAACAACTGACAGTAGTCGCGCCATTCCTACCTGATCTCGTATTATAATTAACCTTTGGAGGGCTCCCTGCAGATTGTTCGAAAGCGAGGAGTGGCATAAAAGCTGGGATGTACAGAGACTTGCGACAGACTGCAATGCAGCAGTGAATGCAGTTTGTTCGCAAATCATGTTTTATTTACCCTGTTTACGTACAATGATCGATGAACATGAGCAAGCTGATGTAGTATACATATATCCGCCCATCAAAGGCTTTGGACCGCATTGACTATAACATTTTAATTAGAAAACTTAATTTGGTTTTAGTGAAGCCCTTCTAAAATCATTCAAGTCATACTTGCAAGACAGCATATGTTACTTCCAATGGTCTTCAGTCTAATTACTTTTTAGCGACATCTGGGCTTCCCCATGGATCATATCTCAGGCCACTATTATTTTTATCATGACGTCCTCTGTAATGGAATGTAAACATCTATTTTTTGATGACCTTGCGTTGATCGAGAAAATTAACTTGAACAATGATTATTTGGTAGTTCAACGACAGTTGAAAAAAATTAAAAACAATGTAAGCAGAGTTTTGACATTTACGCATAAGAAATTTCCCTTTTGTATTTGAGTATACCTTCAACAAATAAAATGTTAGAAAGGTCCAATACGATTGAGGTTTTTGAAATTTTTAAATATCATAATATAACCACTGGTGACTATCTTGCGATGAGTTTTGAATAAATGTTATATCAATACAATCACGAAAGTCCTTTATATTATGAAATTTTTATATTTCCTAGTATCCTAGATCAAATTTGCAACTCCTTATGATTCATAACTTTTTCACAAAATAATTTCGGCAACCACTTCCTAAAATATTTCGCACTTATTTACAAATACCCTGTATATGTAAGTATTTGCATAATAGTATGAAACAAAAAGAACAGTGTCTATTATTCTACACTAAACGCTTCACACTGAAAGTACATATAAATATAGTACGTAATAATAAGTACTAGCTAAAGTTAACAAAATAATAATTTCTAACTCATAAGGAAAGCGATTGTAGAAAATATTGCCCCAAGTGTTCCTCATTTAATCGTCGCCGGCGATCGGTCGATATCCATTTCAAAAACGAAAATGATCGTTCAACATTTACCGAAGTCACAGGCGCATAATAGATGCCATTTATACTAATGGTGGGGAAGCATCAACTATTTCACGCTTTAGTAATTCTACTATCCTTAATAGTACAATAACATGTACATGTCTGCCTCTAATCTGAAGCTTCGCATCGATCAATTTATTCGATACGTATCTAGTGGCACTCTAATGCCTGCCCTGTTGGCCTGGCGTGTCGATGAACAATCCCGATTTTTTACTGCATTTCATCGACGTTTGTGCGCGTGTGAGCGAGTTTGACACTTTGCTTGGTCGAGTGTATGGTACATGTTTTTTGGCAGTCAGTAGCATTGTATATCTTGAGCATAGAGCGGCGCACGGCTTGATCATAAATTTAGCCTATTTCTGCTACTACAACGTGTATTGCCGCTTATTAGCATAATATAGATTACTAATGTTAATTTATTTGAAAGTTGCCACAAAGTTTCAGATGTCTATTCATAACATAACACATTGCTACTAACCAATAGCGAATAAACTACATAAGATCTCCAAGTAGTAAAAAAACTATTATGTGTGTCCCAGCTAAATTGTTTGAGCCATATTATCTATTCCAAACTTTATCAACACGTGAAAAAAATATTTCAGAACAGCAACATGGTGTTATTGCAAAGAAATCAATAAATACTTATTTTATTTACCAACAATATACAGGGTGTTTGGTAAGTCGATGCATTCCTTGCAGGAGGTTATAGTACAAGTGATTTGTGATTTATTTCCTTAATATACCATGTTCCGAAAACGCTTAGTTTCTGATCTACAGGGCGATAAAGTTAATAAAAAAATGCAAATTTATAATATTGTGGAAACCGCTCAGAATATTTTAATGAAATTTTACAAACTTTGACAATTAACAACAATACATGTTTTACGATAAAAATATTGTTTTTAGTTTCACCAGTGGCGTGCGCACAGGCACGCCTTTGGATATTTTTAAAGAAAAAAATTATACGCCACTGATTTTTCATAAAATAAAAATTGTTTTTCAATTCCTTGTTCAATTTGGAAGAGAAAAGGTATCTCGACTGTTTTTCTTATGACCCACCGTTTTCGAGTAAAAAAAATAAAATAGATTTATTGCATGGCGTAATCCGGCGGTTTCAATAATTTGAAAAATAACAGGAATTATGCACCCGGTTTTTTTTGTACCAATTTTATTACAAAAAATTATTATTCCTCGCAGTCAAAAAAGTTTTATCACCTTTTAGATGCACTATCCACTATCTAAACAGAAATTGGCAAGTTGGCTGTGCATTCGTTTTTGTTATTGTTTGACAAAATTAATAATAGCTGTCACTTTGAGTGTTTGAGTGTGAAGCAGTTAAGTGCATAATTTCTGCTATTTTTCAAATTATTGGAACCGAACTACGCCATACAATAAATCGATTTTATTTTTATTTACTCGAAAACGGTGCGTCATAAGAAACACAGTCGAGATACCTTTTCTCTTCCAAATTGAACAAGGAATTCAAAAATAATTTTCATTTTAAGAAAAATCTGTGCTGTATCATTTTTTTCTTTAACAATAACTAGAAACATGCCGGTGCACATGCCACTGGTGAAACTGAAAACAATATTTTTATCGTAAAACATGTATTGTTGTAAACTGTCAACGCCTGTAAAATTTCATTAAAATATTCTGAGCGGATTACGTAATATTTATAAATTTGCATTTTTTTATTAAAACTTTAACACCCTGTAGATCTGAAACTAAGCGTTTTCGGAATATGGTATATTAAAGAAATATATTCACAAATCGTTTGTACTATAACCTCCTGAAAGGAATGCATCGAGTTACCAAACACCCTGTATATAGAGTATGTATTCGAGGAAGAAATCAATTAGGTGATACGGATGTTACAATATACCTACGGATTTTATAAAAGCTTTTGATAAAGTTAATCATGACTTACTTTTCAAAAAGTTACAAGCGCACTGTATTTATCAAAACTCTTTAAATCTATTTAAAACTTAACTACAGAATATGCATTGTGTTGTTAGAGACAACGGAAATATTACAGGCAAGTATCTTGTCAATTCCGGGACGTCTCGAGGCTCCAACTTAGGACCATTGTTGTTTTTTTTATTAATCAGCGACCTCCCTAATGTTTGCATGTATGCTGCAAACCTTCAAAATGTTTACTTTATACTGATGATTAAAACTATAAAAATAGATAAAATAGAAAAATTCTAACAGGGATTGTGTGGCGCTACAGAGAGAGTTATAGATAGTATTGTCAACTGGAATATGAACAATAAACTGCATTTCAATTTAAAGAAATTCTGTATAATTTTTCTTTGTTGCAAAAGAAAAAACAATATTCCAATGTGTTACACTACAAAGGGGTGGTAATTTATTAACTAACTGAATTATAGTACTATGAAGGACCTTGGTCTGGGATATAGTAGTGACCTTTCCTTTTCAAAACGTCTAAGAAATATTGCCGATTCTGTAAATATTTACATTTTTTCATTTTTTTTTTCGATATTTACATTTTTTAATGAAAAAAATAGATTTTTGCGATAAAAAACATTTTCAATTTAAAAGAATGAATTAGAAAATACAAAAGTTATCTTGGGATACTTGGGATACTTTAAGGTTATAAAAAACGATAATATCCTTAGCCTATTCATTATTTCTAAAGTTATCCCAAGTTTGATAAAAATTCTTGAATACGTAATTATTTACCTTTTATCAAGTTTCTTGCATGGCAATATTTGTCTTATCAAAAAACGGTAAGAACATCTTTTTGAGGATATTTTGAAGTTTTCAAAACTCTGCTTAGATTTTCTATACGATTATTTATCAGTCCCGGATAATTATCAAAACCAAAAAGGACATTTTTGCTTTGAACCATAATAATTTAGCGACAAATCATCGTACAAAGCTCTAGAACAGCTCAAATTAAAGAGGAAGTATTAAACTAAAAGAACTGAAAGGTGGGATTGCCAAAAATTTCATTTTCAGAAGCAAAGATTTTGAATTTTTTCCCGATGGATTTCTTATGATTTGTTAAAGGTGGTCAACGATAAAAGTTTTTGAGTTCCAGATCCTGAAACTAGAAAGTTCAAGCTTCAATTTGCTTTTTTTAATTGTTCTATGATCAAGTTACAGCCTTATGAAAATCACCTAATTTAGGATCTTTTTTTAAGCTTTAATTTTTGTGATAATTTTGCTATCTTTAATATGTTTGATTGTAGTGAATACCTTCATATTTATAAACGACTTACGTTTGTTTTATTGTGATACAAATTAATAATTTTAATATTTTTAAATTAGGTTTATCACGATTACACAGCCACACAAAAAAAAGTACAAACCAAAGAGAGCCACATATAGTTTCCAAAGGAATGCGAATTCGATGCGCTGGACACCATCCTATAGTCAAAATTCATGACTTCACGACAAATTTTGACGAAAAGTGAAATTTTTGGATGAAACTGGAAACGTCAAAAGTGATTTTTTCCTTAATTTTATCCAAGTATATCATTTTCGTAGTATTTTGAGGCGCTGAACACGTCATTAGTAAAATTTACCAATGACCTCGATATTTCTGAGAACATTCACTATTTGGATGAAAACTGGCGCTTCTCCATCCAAGGTCACCAAAAACGGCTAAAGAGATCAAAGCACCGACAATGGAGTAGCATATGCCGCCTTTCTGTCGCACCTCGCTTTCGGACATCGCCAGACCGGTGCGTCGTTTCGAGGCACCGGAGCACATGTTCGGAGGACCACTTGGCGGCAGACTCGCGTTCAAACAATGTTTGTATCGTAAGCCGGCCCCGTCAGTCGCAACACGGGGCAACCCCTCACTAAAACATGATCCTCCAACCCTGCAATGTCGAACTCACGAAGATACACTATTACGACCGCAGTAAACGCGAGAGCAACCTAGCCATCTCGACCATATCGAGAGAGGTGTGCCAGAACAACTTCAACAGGAACGTGATCATCAAGAAGAACGTCTTCGGGCATAGGTGGGTGTTGAGGATCAACGACGGCGAGGGGGTGCACAAGAAAAGGAAGAAGCTGAGGGTCGTGGTGTATATTTTGGTGTTCTGCTCCATTGTTGTGGCGGTTTGCTTCGGTGTGTTCTTCTCCATATGTAAGTATGCAGTTTACAGTAGCAAACGCCGCAGGGCTTCCAAAATGTTCACATGTTTAGAATCAAACGACTTAATAGTATTAATATACCGGCACGCGACTATTGGGTCCACAATCGACATACAAACTTTAGAATAGAAGATTGATTCCAACTTGACATTGATACTGCTTATACAGGGTGATGCATTAAGGATGGGCAATCTCTAAACTGGTTTACGAGATTTGATAATACCCTGTATTCAAAGTTGGACTATTAATTTGAAATTTCTCAATAATTTTGGAATTTTTAGCAGTATCAACTCGAAAATTGGTAGCTTCATGTTTTTTAGTATAAGAATTACGAATTTGATGCTAAATTTGGCACTATCTGTACATGTCGTTAGTTACACCCCGTTACTTCTGTAAATCACAACACATTTTTTTTGGTTAGGTGGAGGGTAGGTGGTTGCGAGTTGTTTGTAATGGCGTGTCCTCTTATCACCTTAGCTATAGATACTTTAATTGGTTAATTTGTTACAATGTATACAGGCTGATTCAGAACCAATAAAAAAAAATTGCATGCACAGGGGACTCTTACAAATACAATTTTGTAAAGAAAAAATCAAAAAAGGCAGTTCGAAAATGATTTTAAAATACACTTCTGCACGGCAATGCAAACTGGTCCAAAATGCGACCGGCATGGCGGCAAAGTGTCATTAAAACGGACAAAAACTTGAACAAATTTCGTAAGGAAAGAATTTTATAGCACCTATTTTATATCAGCAAATTGAACTGCTTTTAAACACATTTGGGTCCGTCGTACTCACTTTCTACAAGCTAACACAAATGTTGTGTTGCTTCACAATAACACAATACCAAATTGGTATACACGCAAGCCATTTTTGACACTAACTACTAAAAAAACTATTGTAAACATTAGCTCAACTACGATTGTAAAATCGGATTTCAGTATTCGGAGTCCCTGAGGCCACGTGGCTCTCCACGCGTATTGTGAATGACGCTAGAGACTGCATTTGTCCACCTACCTATATAATAGTTGAAAATACTACAACTTCAATATTTTTTTTCTCGGAAACTATAAGGATTTTACAAAAAATTTTTTACGATATTGTCTCCATTTCTCATGCCGCATCTATTCCCAAATTTTTTTCGATAAGTTGTAAATCACCCTGTACATATTGTTTTATTGTTGTTGTGTTCTCTTCATTTTTCAGAAGTGCTGTATTTAGCATTAGGTCTGTTTCTGAAGCAGTTGAAGACTGATTTGAAATTACCAGAGATACTTGACCTTATTGCGAATTTCTTCATGAATTAAATCATGAAGTCACTTCATAAAGACGTTGGGCAAGTGTAATTCACCAAATTTGTTGTCAAATAACTTCATGAATTTGTTTATGAATTTTCTCACAAATTGAAACGTGTTCTAATTTTCGCGAATTTTTTCGTGAAGTTCAGAAGTACCAACAAAAACATTGAGGTTAAGTTATTTGTTTACATATTTACTTCAGCATGTTTTTATAAAGAGTGATACGTGCATTGGCAAATTACGATCACAATCTTTTCCATATTATCTAATTAAAAAAATAACTAACCTCAAATGTATTCATTTTCAATGTGTCTTTATTTACTATATGACTTGCATTGCAATGTTGGTAGTAGCTATTTTTGTTTCAAAGAATGAATTTTGAAACAATGTAAATCTTATGAAAAAATTGATGAATTAATTCATGAAAAAATTCGTCAATTTATTCATGTATAAATTCTCAATGAAAAACAGTTGTTAGACTGACTGAAAGTATGTGACCGAATACATTTGATAGTGTGAAAACAGTCTGAGACAAACAAATCTATAAGCTTTGTTCCTGATGCATAAAAACAGTTTCCAAAAGTCAGACACAGTTGCATTTTATTCGAAATAATAAATTTTGAACCTTACGTAAGCATTATATCGGAATGCGCATGCGACTGACTGTTGATGTTGGAAACTGTTTTGAATTGCTCTAGGAATAAAGCCCTAAACACATTTAAATAGGGCTGTTTCGGATGACAGATTCGAGTAGTTTTGAACCGTTTTGAAGGTTTGGGAAGTGTCGTGATCATCATATTCATGATCAGCACCATCGAAAAAAGAGAGGTAGGGTTTGTAGCTGCAACAAATACTTCCTTACCTTCAACGTTCTTTCGCTAAACTAAATTTCGTTAATATTTTTATCAATATAAAATTTGAAAATAAACATTCTTTTTTTATAATGTTTTCTTCTTATTTTGTTTACATATTGACATCCGCTAAAAATCCACAACAAAATGTGTGAATGCGTATTTAAAATTTGATGCAACTTACTGCGAATAAGGATATTTGGAACATACCTAGTGTAAAAACAAAAACTAAGCTAGTTGATTGCATAATACATAAAAAAAATTGTACGATCAAAAATCGATTAAAAACCGTTACGAAATTTGTTTTTTGTTATTATCGTTTCAGACAAGAACAAAAGCAAAGCATCTGACCAAAAGATAGTCCATTTGGAGCCTATTACCAACACACCACAAGTAAACGACACTTACATCAATAAAATGCATGAAAATCAAGTAACCATAGGGGCTGCTGAAACGACAACAATATATACTACGACTAGTACCATACAAACTGAACAAACTGCTATATATAGTTATATAAATGTAAGTAAACTGTTACTTGGAATGTTTTTTGAAATATCGCAAATAAGATTTATTATCCAAACCTTCTAAAATTATCCTAATTATCTACTATCTTTTTAATTCAGTACCTACCACAGTTTGTTAGAATTACATATAACCAGCAGTATGTAACTAAAAGTATGAAGATATTAAAAATAATTTTCTTGATACTTGACTTGGCAAATCCATAATTCGTTGCTGTGTATGCATAAATTAAATGTGCAAGAAGATGGATTCCCAGTAAATGAATTACTTTGTAGATAATTTGAAAAAATATATATTTAACTAAAAAATATATGTGTACTTTAGGAACCTTCCACGCCTACCTCGCTCTGCGGCCCGTGCGCCCTGAGTCAAGAAGTCTGCTTGAAAATTCATGAAACTGACGCCCCGAAATGCACCAAAATCGCCGACAAAAATGACCCCACGGGTTGCGGCGGTCTCTGTCCGATAAACACACACTTCTGCCAAATCCTGGACGCCAGGGGAAAGGTATACCAGTGCTCTCCCATCAAGAAATCTCTGATGTGTCGGAATAGCACCTTCAACTGCGGGAACCTGTGCATCTCTAAAGAAAAACGTTGCGACGGCCTGGTGCATTGCTCCAATGGCTCTGACGAGGAAAAATGTGGTATTAAAACGTTTTTTTTAAGATTAATCATCAGTATATTAACTGTTTTCCAGTTTGCGACCTTGAAACGCATTTTCACTGCGGGAACTTGACTTCGTGTTTAGAAAAAAAGAAAAAGTGCGACCATAAGGTCGACTGCTGGGACAAATCTGATGAAACAGGCTGTACTAAAGGTATAAAAATGAAACATTTTACTATTTATTATAAAAATGCAATTCAAGTCAATATTAACGCACCTCTAAAAATGGGATCTGATGGGCTCATTTAGCATATTTTTTAAATTCATATTCAGAGTATAATAGATCATAGGCAGTTAATATGCACAAAATCAGTTTATGATTTATCTACTTATGATGCAAGAACGAGATGATTTTTTTCACAGTTGGAAAAGTACCAATAAACAATGAACAAACTAAATTACTTGCGACAACAGGGAATAGGGCATTGAGCTGTTGGATCGTACCAGTTGAGTGGTGTGACGTCACCTGCGAACGACACGGACCGTTTAAAATATTTTACGAATTAGAAATTATCACAATTAATATTAAAACTATTGATCTGATTTTTTCCCCATATATTTAGGAGGTTAAAAGCTGATGGAAAATGTAAAAGCAACTTGTAAATTAAATATTACAGAATAAGCCCATTTGATGTGATTTTCACTGAAAAACGTATGTATTTGGGACTACCGAAGAAGCTATTTTAATGATACATACATATTATAATATCATTTGCAACAAAATAGCTCTGGTTAACTATACATATTTTCGTATACAGGGTGGGCCAATGAAAACTTTCCACCCCGGTTTTTTTGGTTTAAAATAAAAATGTGAGAAAACGCTCGGACACGTCGACTTTTGATTTGAGGAGGAACTATTTTTCAGTTTTTTTCATCCCCGTAGCTTTAACCCCCTAGATGGGGATAGAAAACCCCCCCAAATTTGAATAAGGGATAGGGGTCGTGACATACCTCTTTTTAAAGGTCTCATCGAGTTCTTTATGAGCCTACAATTTCGCCTTATTATTTGAAAACTTTCCACCCTGATTTTTTTTGTTTAAAATAAAAATGTGGGAAAACGCTCGGACACGTCGACTTTTGATTTGAGGGGGAACTATTTTTCAGTTTTTTTCATCCCCGTAGCTATAACCCCCTAGATGGGGAGAGAACAACCCACCAAATTTGAATAGGGGATAGGGGTCGTGACATACCTCTTTTTAAAGGTTTCATCGAGTTCTTTATGAGCCTACAATTTCGGCTCATTATTTTTATCCGTAACGAAATGACAACTTGTCAACTTATCCTACGGAAAAAATGTAAACAACTATTATTGTGAAACATTTAGTAAATTTCAGGACAATTGTTTTCCAGTTTTTAAATAAATTAAAATGTATCGATTTTGTAGTACAAAGATAGTGTTGTACTTAAATTTTAACTCGAATTTCAGTAATTATGAATCTCTTAAAACAGGAAGTACCCAAAGATTCACGTCGTCCAAATAATCCTACGTACCTATTAAAAATAATTTAGGTACTTACCAAAAAGCACAATTCAGTAAACGTACAAGTACAAAACAAACCACAACATATGCTCAAAATGTCCACCGCCATTTTCGATGCACGCACGATACCTTCGAATCCAATTTTCGCGCACTCGCTGGACACACCTCGAGAAAAGGAAATAGTGGTACCCAAAAAACACTCATACACGGTCCAATTCCAGATACCAACTGAATTGCGTATTGCTGGACAGCTTAGTACCTAGTGTTATCCGCCGCGCCGTTGTCGCATTGCTTGATATGAATTTTATCGAATTTATTACAACGCTAATTATTTTTTAGAATTGAATGATATATTCTATACAAGCAGTTATGTGCATGTGTTATTCCTTAATTAATCGAACTTTTGTACATCAAGTTAAAGACTTTGATACATTTTTTCTCGGAAATGGTTGAGTTTAGGACCCGTCATTTTTTTAAATTATTTTAATGTATTCTATCGTCTGTTAAAATTAACTTATTAATTTCTAACACCCTGTATTTAACAGTTAAATTATTTTTAAATTTCTTCCTGGTTCAAATGAAGGTCAAACTCTTGTTAATAACAATTAAAAAAATCACTTCTAGCTCTTTGAAAAAGGGCCTATTTTTAACGGTGCGTGAATTTTGATGGGACCTACATTGAAAATGTGATTCTCATAATTTTGTTTTCTCAAATAGTGTAGTGAATATCATATATTTTTTTAAATATTTTTCACCACATTTTACCACCTACACTACGTAAGATACTTTCCAGTTCAAATTTTACTCTAAGTCGCGAAATAACCTACAAACACCTTCTCATAAACCGATAAACTGAAAATAAAATTGAAACTGAATGAATGATTCTAATTTGAATGTAATAAAATGAAGCGGTGATATATTCAACCAGTCTACTTTCGGCGAATTGACATTTACCATTTGGACGCCTAGCGCCCTATTGTCATATCACATCAGGTGGATTGATATACAGTTCACCTAAACAAGGTCAATATCAGAGGCCATTGACACTGAGATTCACAAACTAAACACAGTGCTTAAGACACTAACAAATATTTTTCATCAAGAAATGTAATTGGTTAATGCCACTTTGTTAGTTCCACACATTTGGTTTAAAATAGTAACAGGTAATCACTTACAAGCATAAGATACGAACCAAGTTTGGGAGCCGCTCAGTGACTGTGTAGACAAGTTTTTAAGAGCAGTAAAAAATTAGTCTGAGATTAGTATTCTGAGGAACACATACTATTACCACTAAAAGAACTGACCACCACTGAAAGTGACCCCCGTATGCAAGGTGTTCCTTAAATATGATGCCAAACTGAAACAGGCGTAGAAAATGTAATTTTGAGTAAAAGGCATCCTATGAACATGCGTCCTAAAAACGCTAAGTAAAAATATTGCAGTGACAAAAAAGTGCCTTCAAAAACACTTTTTCTCATATAATCCTTCATTTATTGTTTTTTAAGACATTCTTCCAGACATACTTAATATTTTGCAGGTATATATCAGTCATTTTGGAGTTAATACAAAACATATTAATCATTTTGTAACTTTTATGCTAAGCTTTTTGGACCCACGTTTGTTGGAAATTTTTTGCTTCTAACATTTCCTATTTTTCATTTCGCTTCGGCACCACACTTTAAAAACCTTTAGACCTCAAGTCAAATATTACATCATTTTTAGGTGTCTCCTGCAAAAACGAAGAGATTCCTTGCGCTAGCGGACAATGTGTCCTAAAGGAAAAGTTTTGTGATGGGAAATTCGACTGCGTAGATAGGACTGATGAACCAGAAGGATGCCAAATATAAATAAGAGGAGGAGGACAATGGAGTAATTTTTCTTTGTTTTTTGGATTTGTGTGATTTTTTTTTCAGTGTGCAGAGTAGAAAAATACAACAATTAAAAAAAAATAGCAAATAATAGTGAAATTGTATACGATTACTACAGTCTTGTACTTACTCTTTCCAGAAACACCCAAAGGTGTTGACAATTATTAGGAATCCTAGGATTGCACTGACAAGGACAATAAATGTCTGGTATTATCCATATGTTTATTAGTGAAGCAGTATTCTCTAGATATTTATTTTTGTAAGGGTTTACGGACAATAAAGACATAAGAAGTATATAAAAAATATTTTATTGACGAATAAATAAAAAAAGTCAAAAACTAAAACAGCAAATAAAACCTTAACACAAATCTGTACAAAAATCTGATAGGAATTCTAAAAGCAAAGTGAATTTGTCCGTGTTTCCCCCACTTTGCCTGTAACAGTCCAAGAACTTTTGAAGGAAAGCTGTGACATTACCGAGAGTTCTCTACAAAACAAAAAAATTACAACCGCAAGTAAAAAAATCCTACCCCATACCTGATCCCACTCCTTCCTAAAAAACTCTGTGCACTGCAACTCGAATTCCTCAGGCTTTAAAATATCCTCTTTTAACAGAAAGGCAGCGAAACTGGCAAAAGTCTCCCAAACTTTAACGTTATTACACGATTGCGCTAGCAGCATAACATTCCTCGGACATAACAAATTTTTAAACAACTCCCCCGCTTTTGCATTATAGCACTTCCATACTCTTACAAACTTTTTTAACAATTCCTCCCTTACCATCACATCTGGCTTATGTGTTACTAAAAAAAGTTTTTAGTGTAATCCACGCACACGTCCTTACTTAGTCATACTTCATTCACAACTTTTTCCAACCAGTGGCGTTATAATCCGGGCGAATTAGTTTTTTTTTCAAAAATCGGGCCTACCTCGAATTTTATGGGATTAAAATTAAGTAAAAGACACACAGAATAAAAGCCTAAATTTGTGCATTTGTGGAAGTCGAGCGTCATATTGTTTATAACAAAAGAAAAAAAAATGCTCTTTTTTCAGTTTTTCGCTTATATCTCCGAAAATAAGCCTCTAATCGACATGAGGTATGTTTATCGATTTTGTTCCTGAGGAAATTTGCTACAAGGATAGGCTTTTGCAAAAGCTCGCAAATTTTTCTTTACATTGCAAAATTAGCGGTGAAAAAAAAATGTGCAAAACTTTCAGCATTAAATAAAAATAACGAATTTTATTGAAATTTGATGAAACTACAGGAAAAGATAACTGTTGGGGTGCTCAACAATTACCCGCTATCCGGACCCCCAATTTCAAAATGGCGGCCTATTGCAAAATTATAAAGTCTAAAATGCGAACGAATATATCTTCTGCCCAAGTCAAGGTATAGAAATTTGGTAAAAAAGGATGGAAAGGTAATTACATTATCTCGCGTCTGTGTAAATTTCAGATTTTTAAGTTGCAAAATAAAAAAGTTATTAACAAAAACCAAAAAAAAAACGGTAACTAGGGTTTTTATCTCGACAATTTTTTAATATACATATTTCAAACCAATTGCATCAAATAGTGCTTAAACATGAATTAAGAAAAAAGCGTCTCGATCCGACCAATAGGAGCTGAGATAATATTTTTTTGCTTTAAACGGTATTTGGCTGTTCTATTTAATATCTTATAATAAACTTGGTCTCGTTGTAAAGTAGAAGACTTCCTTTATAAGCTTTATTTTTTTTTGAATGTTCGTTGAAGACAGCGTGATCCGCGCGGCTGAGCGGTAGCCAGGAGAGGGGAGCGCTCGACTTCTCAAAATTCTTACTTAACAAATGGATTGTGGCAATTAGAAAGCAGCTACCGGGATGCTTTTTTTATAATCAAATTATTTTGTCCACTCTTTGGAATGGTGTAAGCAAAAGTCTGTAAAAGTCATCACCAGATCCCGAAAAATACATTTTTATTAACGTTTTCTTATGTAATTTCATTGTGCTTTTGATATTTTGAAAAGTAAGGAGGTCTTTTTACGTATTTAAAAATAATAGGCAATTATTTCTTTGAAAAAAATGATGAAAGAATGAAAATTTACCGTGCTCAAAAGAGAAAATTAACTGTTATACTTATTGCGTAAATTGTGTCTAGAATATTATTGAATATTACAATATCAACATTACATATAAGTATTGCATTTTATAGTATTTAAAAGAACTTTTACATTCAATTCTGCCATGTTTTATTTAATTGTTTGTATTGCTAGAGAAAGTTTTTAATTTTTATAAGAATATTAAAAGTAAAATAAATATTTAATGTATAATATATTTTACACATCGATGAATTTTTCAAGTTAATGGTTTACATTGTAGAGCACGTGACTTGAATGTGGCAAAATGGCAAAATTCATCGAAGTCTAAAATATATTATTATTAAATATTTATTTTACTTTTAATATTCTTATAAAAATTAAAAAAAGACAACTTTTCCTAGCAATACAATCCGTTAAATCAAATATGGTAGAATTGAATGTAACAGTTTTTTTAAATATTATAAAATGCAATACTTGATATTTAATGTTGATAATGTAAGATTCAATAATATTCTAGACACAATTTACGCAATAACTGTAATTTTAAGGCGATATTTTATACATCGACCTCTTCTGAGCACGGTAAATTTTCATTCTTTCATCATTTTTTTCAAAGAAATAATTGACTTTTGTTTTTAAATATATAGACCTTACTTTTCAAAATATCGAAAGCACAATGAAATTGCAAAATAAAACGTAAAAAGTCAATAAAAATGTATTTTTTGGGATCTGGCGACGTCTTTCACAGACTTTTGATTTAAAAAAAGCATCTCGGTAGCTGCATTCTTAGTGTCACAATCCATTTGTTAAGTAAGAATTTTGAGAAGCCGAGCAGGGCACTATGATGTCACAACGCTCCCCTCTCCTGGCTACCGCTCAGCGGATCACGCTGTCTTTAACGAACGTTTGTTTGGTCACTTCTTGGTCGAATTCATTCAAAAAAATTCAGCGTATAAAGGAAGTCTTCTACTTTACAACGAGACCAAGTTTATTATAAGATATTAAATAGAACAGCCAAAATACTGTTTAAAGAAAAAAAAATTATCTCGGCTCCTATTGGTCGGATCGAGACGCTTTTTTTAAAAAATTCATGTTTTTTTAAGCACTATTTGATGTAATTGGTTTGAAATCTATACAGTACGCGCCCAAAGTGTGGAATAAATTCAGTAAAAACGAAACAATTTTTTTTTGGGAAAAATCCTCGATCAGGTCGATTTTTAATTTAAAAAATACATATTTTAACATAAAAGGTGATTTCCAACCATCATTTGTTTTCGAGTAATGACGTCATCGACAATTTTTTTAAATAGCAACCCCCTATTTTTTTTTCTTGATTCTGAAAGATCGTTTCATTGTCGATCCAACAGTATTAAAATGTTGCCATCTTACATAGGAAAGTTTTCGAGTAAATGACGATTGAATGTTAGAAAACCCAAATCAATTAAAATAAAGCAAAAACGTTATCAAATTTAGTTTTCCGAAATGCCTGAAGATTTTTATGGTCATGTAGGTGTAAATCTTTACAAAGTGTCACTGTCATACCGACTTTCTAAGTATTGTAAACAATATAAAAATTATTGTTGAATTTAAATTTATGGCACATTTAACTGTCACACAAAGAATTGAAATTTTAATTCTTATCGGATGCGGGGATAAGACTAGAACGCAGCAGGAAGTTTGCAATTTATTTAATGAAAAACATCCAGATCGCCGTATCAGCCAGTCAACAGTCAATAAGATATAATCTAAATTTAGAGAAACTGGCAATGTTGTAGATATTCCAAAACCTGTACGTCCAAGCGTTAGTGAAGATCATAAACAGAACATTTTGATAAGTATGGTAGATAATCATCATAATACTTCACGATTGGTTGCATTAAACAATTAAATTAGTAAGACCACAGTGCTACGTATCCTGAGGCAGCAAAAATATCATCCCTACAAAATTCAACTTGTGCAGGAACTCAATGAAGACGATTCTGACCACCGCTTACACTTTTGTGAAATTATGATGGATTTATGTCAAGTAAATAGAGATTTACACTGGCAAATACTACCGGCCCCGTTTTGTCTCAATGGTACAGTGAACCGTCAAACTTGCAGATATTGGAGTCGGGAAAATCCTCATTGGATGGCAGAGACACATACCCAACACCCACAGAAATTAAATGTGTCGGCTGGAATAGTTGACAACAGAATAGTAGGGCTTTTCTTCTTTGAAGGAACCCTTACAGGAGAAAGATATTTAGAGTTTTTACAAAATGACCTTGTTCCAGCGCTTGCAGTAATTTTTCTTAACGATAATGATCCTGATATTCCTGATGACACCAGATGGTTTCAGGAAGACGGTGCACCTCCGCAATATGCGCGCCCTGTTCGAGATTTTCTGGACAATTGTTTTCCTAGGAGGTGGGTCGGCAGACGAGGACCGATAGAATGGCCTGCGAGATCCCCAGATCTTACATCCCTGGACTATTTCTTATGGGGCTACTTAAAGTCCAAAGTGTACGTTAACAGACCACATAATTTAGAAGAACTCCAAAATTGTATTATAGATGAAATACACAGAGTTACCCCAGAAATAATTCATAATGTGCAAGAAGAATTTCTACACACACTTGCGTATTGTCAAGAAGTCGGTGGGTGGCAATTCGAATACTTAATTTAGGTAGAAAACTTAATGAATTGTATTTGCTTGACATAGGAATTGTTATTTTTTTAATGTATAAAATTTACGTTTTCTAACATTCAATCGTCATTTACTGGAAAACTTTCCTATGTAAGATGGCAACATTTTAATACTGTCGGATCGACAATGAAATGATCTTTCAGAATCAAGACAAAAAATAGAGGGTTGCTATTTAAAAAAAATGTCGATGAAGTCATTACTCGAAAACAAATGACGGTTTAAAATTGTCTTTTATGCTAAAATATGTATTTTTTAAATTAAAAATCGACCTGTTCGAGGATTCTTCCTAAAAAAAATTTGTTTTGTGTTTACTGAATTTATTCCATACTTTAGGCGTGTACTGTATATTAAAACACCGTTGAGATAACGACCCTAGTTACTGTTTTTTTTTTGGTTTTTTGTTAATAAATTTTTTATTTGGCAACTTAAAAATCTGAAATTTACGCAAATGCCAGACAATGTAATTACCTTTCGATTTTTTTTTACCGAATTACGACATCTTGACTTGGGCAGAAGATATACGCGCTCGCATTTTCGACTATAATTTTGCAGTAGGCTGCCATTTTGAAATTGGGGTCCAGATTGCGGGTATTTGTTTTTTACTTAATTTTAAGCCCATAAAATTCGAGGTAGGCCTGATTTTTTAAACAGGCATGTGTTTGGTCTAATTCGCCCGGATTATTACCCCTTTACAACATAGTAAAAGCATGGTTGCAAAATTGTGACAAAATTATGAACAAAAGCAAAGCTACTCACTCAGTAACAAAGAAACATCAACCAGCAACGCACAGGTGCTCAAAGTAATGCACTCGTTCACGTCGCTACGTTCCGTCAGCGTAACGTATGCTTCGTCCAAAATATCCGCCACCGCTTCATTGCTTACTTCTTCCAAATTCTCCAAAATGTACGTCGAAAAAATCTAAAAATTTCCATTGACAATAAATCTTACTCAATTAACATAAAACATATTTTACCTTGACCTTCTCTAACAAGTGGAAGGCGCTGGTTGCGTTCTCATTGTGATTTCCGATGGTACCACCAGAGGGCAGCTGGAACACAGGCTTTTCCTTGGCGGATCTCCGACTTTCCGGACTCAAAACCTTCTGCATCTCACTGTTAAAGTCTTTCATGAACACCGCCGAGGTAACGTGAGAATTTATCCACTGTTGCACCCTTTCTGCACACATTCTAGTGGCTATGGAAACACAAACGTTCCTCGTCTGGGGCAGGACATCAACAGACAGGAGGTTAGCGATGCACGTCGGTATTCGTTCGCTTGTTATGGTTGACACTTCCGCATCGCAGTTTTCTTTAAGCGTTTGTAGGCTAGAGTGCGTCATTTGGTTAACCTTTGATTTCAACGCTGCCTGAAACAGGAAAATTATAAAAATTTCTGAGAATCAATAAAAAACGATCTACCTTTAGCGATTTTTCCCTCGTGGGGGAGTTGAGGTTGTGCTGCTGGGTCCACGAAGTGAGAAAGTTTCTCACGTTTTCTACAGCCGTTTTTTTGAAGGATGGAACAATCGTGCTACAGATATGTTTAACGCAAGCTGAAGCAACACGTTCACTAACGAATTCTACCGTCTTCCTTAGCGAAAGCGGCTGCCCGTTGAAGAAAGCCTCTTCTAATTGTTGCTGGAAAGCGAGAAAATTTAATTTTGTTCATGGTTGGATTTTTACACTCACCTCAAGTCTTTTATTCGCTATTTTAGTTGACGACTGCACCGCAGTGACAGGTGTGATGTGTTTAACGGTAACGGAACCCTTTAGAGCATTGCTCGAAAGCAATTTTTTTATTTCTTCCAGAAAAGGGCAACAAATGTACAGGACGTTCTGGTCTATTATGTCCAAATGGTCTAACTTTCGCTCCTTGACTGTTTTAGAATTCGTTTTTGGTGTTCCTGGAGAGGAAATACCAGCTTCGAGCTCCTCGGTGCAGAAATTAAAGTATTCGGAGTCCGGGAAATGCGGCAACTCAAACAACCAGCCTAAACAGAACTTTATGAGTGGGGCGTTATAATTTTTGGTCCCTAATACTTTATAGCAGTTTTTGTGCAGGTCGAACAGAATTTTGTAGACGGAAATATAGTAGGGCAATCGTAGAGTGACGTAATCTAACATCGATAAATATTTCGTAAGCCACGGTACGGTAAGTGTGATGCAGTTCTGTTTTATGGAATTCTCTAGCAGTATTTTAACATCAAACGTTGGGGTAACCTGAAACATTTTTAAAATGGAGATCTCGTCATTTTTTTTTAATCGTAACCTAATCACCTCTTTACGTAAGCTTATTTGAAAATTCAGGACCTTTTCCGAAAAGCTACTGCAGTCCGTTTTATATGGTAACGATTCTACGAAGCCCAAAAACTTTGCTAAAATCCTCAACGACTTCAGACAAGCCATGTAAGACTTTCTAGTTGTTGAATCAACGGAACCGTCTATTTCTTCCAAGTCAGTACAAGAAAACTTGGTGTCATTTAGATCGACAATTTCTGCAATAAGTGCATCGCACAGATGTTTATTAAACAAATAATTGGCAGCTATGACTATGAAATCTTTATAGAACTCTTGATGCCCCGTGAAGAGCGGTACAGAATTGATACCGCTAGAGGACTGTTTAGTCACCAAACGACAATTTAATCTGTTTAGCTTGTCGGCATCGACGTTGGGTATAGAGGACAGAAATGGAATATCCGACAAGCCCTCCTCCTTGAAACGATGACAACATTTTCTTTATTAATAAGAAGGCAAAATTATGTATGACAAACTTACCTTTTCAAACCTGCCACACGTACCCAATAATTGTGCCTTAAACAACCTGGTAAAGTGAACGAACGTCATTGGTTCATTCTGCAGGCTAAATAAACTTTTGATTCTCCCTCCTAAGCTCCCGGAAAAATCCCAATTGGCCACCAAGTGTTGGTTTTCCCAAATCCTCAAGATCTCGTAGAACAAATCCCTTTGTTTCCGAAACGTGTGGAAAGCGGAATCATTAGGGAAGTTGTCTCTATTGTCTGTATCCAAATTAAAGCAAACGTTGGTCTGCACGTTGCTATCAGGGAACTCGAGGACACATTCCGATTTCTTCTGCGAAATCTTCCCGAGTTTCTCAGCGAATGACTTTGAAAAAGCTTGCAATCTTTTATTGCGACAGAGGAGATTCAACGTCGATTTATTGTAGTACTTCAACACATCGAGTTGCGTCTCTAAACATCTCGCTGCAAAGTACACAGTGTTGTGTACAGTCTCGAACAAATCCGCAGAAGTAATGTGTCTTACACGACTTAGAACGCTCTGTAATTCGCATCTATCTTCGTCGTTTAAGAAATCTATACCTGCAGGCATAACATCACTGGAATTCGTACTTTCCCGACTTTCGTCAAAATGTTTAGCGAGAAGTAATGAAATTAAAAAATATATTTCACTGGTTATGTTTAAAATAAGGCCGTTCTTCAAAATGTTAACATAAATTTCTACAAGACAATTTAATTCTTCCTTATTCGTTACCAAATCAGCATCAGGTTCAATTTCTTCTTTAAAATTTATCAGGCTAGAAATTTTTTTGGATGTACTTGTTAAATTATTTACTGAATCTCTTCTAGTCAGTATTTTCAATCGCTCTTCCGCTAAAAAATTCCTACTATCGTTCAAACTATCCACGGACACCTCCTGAGTGTTCTGAAAATTGTTAAAACTGTTATCGTTCTGCCTAAAATTACCATTCAATTTGACTTGGTTCAAGTTGGTCGGTTTGATTCTCTTACTACATTCGTCACTGAATTCACACGATGAAAGGTTTTTGTATCCTTTTTTCTTCACCAAACTTTTTCTGTTAACGATAAAATCACCTAGGCATAACGAAGTAGCTTTTTCCACGGATCTATTCGTAAAACTTTGCCTCTCGGATTTTGGTGTCCAAAAATTAGTTTGATTTCTATACAGCGGTGAAATAGGGCTGATGTGTACACTATGCAGAGTGCTGCCTGACTGTACCTTCATTAATTTAGGCGTGCTATTGCTACGACACACTTGTGGACTGGTCGTTTGGTTGTTTTCAAAAAATTTGTTGCTTCCGTCAGAAGATTTGTGTAAAGCAAGCGGGTAACTAGCAGATTTATTTATGTCATATTTATCCTCTTTCAATAACAGACTAGATCTCCTTCTAGTGGGTGTTTTGTCGTCCTGTAGCTCAATGCGTCTAGTAGTGTTTGGTTTTTGGGGGCTTTCCCCATTTTTGGTCAAACTGAAAACAGCGATTACTGAAGATAATGTACGTTAATTAACAAGGTACACTCACCAAGGGATTTCTTCGTGAACAAAGTTGAGGAAATAAGTCAAGAAATCCGTTCGGGAACATTTGTAGTTTTTGGAATCGCTAAAATATTGTTCCTAAAAATAAAAATAAGGTTAGGTTGCACCGAGTTACCTTGAAATGTATAGTATACCTGTGAGTTCGTGTCCAATAGCCACTTTATAAAAAACTCTACTTTGATTTCCTTATTTATTATTTTATTCAGCAGAATTTCCGCCATTTTATTAAAAAATATCCAACATTTACAACACAATACACAACACCAACGACGTCATCTTAGTTTTAAAATTTGGCGGTAGTTTTAGGAATATTTGACCAGAACTCACATACCTATATTCTTTAGGTATGTGCTAGAACTCCTCAAAATTTGTTTCGCACACCAACTAAACACCATTATTGTATACCTGGTTGCCTGTAAATATTATTTTTATATTAGATTATATTCAAAAGAAATAATATCTGTTTCCTAAACTAGAAATGTTAAAATAAAACTATTTAGGTACTTATGTACTGTTAGTATTTAAAATATCGATTTTATTAATGTTACATCAATAGTAAATTGGCATGGTAATTTATTTTACGATTTTGAAAGCCACTTTGTAGGGGAAATATACATATGTAAATATTTAAAATATTTGCAATGAAACTAGTTTCTGGTACGTAAAATTAGATATGTTTTATTAAAAGCATGTGCCGTTCTTTAAGTAATGCCTATTACCATTTAGTTTCCTATATAATTAGAACAACCGTACGTAGTTATGAGATCACTGGTGTTATAAGCTATACGAGATGAAAGATAAATAACTTGCTAATTAGAAATGTACTTGTAATTATACAGAGTGGATTCCAACAAGGTTCTGGGAGAAAAATGAGAAAAATAATGTTGTACAAGCTTTCTTCTGCATTTGCTAAAAATTGTAAATAGAAGTTTATAAATAAATATTAGTTTAGTAATGTTTCATATAACCACCCTATACATAAGTGCGCCAATTCTAGATTTGACTGATTAGTATCCAATATGAATAATATTTTCGTAGATACCATCTTTTTCTATTTTTATTTGTATTTGATTTAGTATGGACATATGTAACACTTTTACTTTTGATGGATACTAGCAACAGAATATATTATTGCATAATTTAAGCATTTTCGTTTCATGTAGCCACTAATTATAAAACTTCCATTTTTATTTGTTTTCCAAAACATGTTCAAAAGATATTATTACGTATGGATTTACCAGGATCTAATAAATCCGTCGTTGAGTAACTAGACCTCTTGGAAAAAGTTATTCTCTTAAAATCCGTTACATTTCATACGCTATTCAAAGCGGATATTTGAATTATTTAGCAAACAAAGCATGTTTGTTCTTGTGGTCGTCGAGTTTTCATGTCGTTTCATAAATTGACACTTGCGTCAATAAGTAAGGGAAAAACATTTTTTAAGAGAACTGGGAAAACACGTAGAGAAGGCCATTTGATTGACCCTTGGATAGCTTTCGAGGGACTGGTAGAATTTGCTATTTTCATTAGATCGCAGCTAAAACATTGCTAAAATAATAGTTAGGAAGGATAATACATATTTCAAAACTGGCAAAAGTTTTGCAAAAATTAATTACTTCAACAAGGTAAGTATTCGTATTTCACCAAGTAGTCGATATGGATAAGTATTTCCATTTGTAAATATTAGGCCTGGATATATAAAGTTGGACGCGACTTTTTGTTTCGGCAAGCTGAATTTATCACTATAGATGCTAAATATTATGTACAATAACATATTAGTTTCCACAGACATAAAAATAGGGGGAAGATTGTTTACAGGGTGGATAATTGTATAATTTTTACATAAATTCACGTTTTTCGCTTATAACTTTTTCCGTTCATTTCTACGAGAAAACAGTAAAATACATTTTTTTCGTCTTCAAAAGACCTAGAAAACTAGCCCTCGAGTGTCAAAAAATGTTGATTAGATCAAAAGTTATAAACAGAAGAAGCTTATTTATGACTTCTGAAATAAAGGTATTGGCATCGCATCCTCTCATTCCATATCACTGTCTAATAACTCACACGAAATCGGTAATTTGAATAGTTTACAAGTTATGGCCTTATAAACAAATTAACTAATTATTAGTCTGGACGATCCCAAGCATCTTCCACAATCGCACTGATTTTTTTCGTGGTAGATTTCATAATAATACATTGAAATCTATCATTTTTTTGTTTTAAATTTCAAATTTGTAACCTGGAAAGTTTTTTATTTTTTAGCCTTAGTTGAAAAGTGAAATATACAACGCACGCGCGTGATATAGTTTATATTATTACATATTCGGAAAGCTTATGAAAAGAGTTTTATGTTAAAAAAATCGTCAATGGAGTTACAGACTGTCAAATATATTATTTTCAAGCGAATTTCGCTTTTTTAACGGCACAACTATGAATATTATCGTCATTTTCTTCAGACTCGCTGTCATTTGCTTCTCTCTACCCTTCCGCCGTGCCACGGCTCGCCGAAAATCAAGCGACCCACTGACTTTTGACAATATTTCTTATGCACTTAATATACTTCCACAAATAAAATATTTTTATCTGAGAAAGTACTCAGGTTGCCGGTTATGACAGTATTTTTTTTACCGCTACCAACTTAATTTGTTTAACAATAGGCCGTCAACTTTGACAGTCCGTAACTCTGTTGTTTTTCAAGGAATCTTGACGATTTTTTTTAACTTATAGCTCTTTTCGTAAGCTTCCCGAATATACGAGTATAACTATATCACGCGCGTGCGTCGTATATTTCATTTTACAACTAGGGCTAAAAAATTCCAGGTTGCAAATTTGAAATTAAAAAAAAATTACAGATTTCAATATATTATGAAATCTACCATGAAAAAAATCAGTGCGATTGTGGAAGATGCTCGGGATCGTCCAGACTAATAATTAGTTAATTTAAGGCCATAACTTGTAAACTATTCAACTTACCGATTCCATATTTTGTGTGAGTTATTAGATAGTGATAAGGAATGAGAGGATGCGATGCCAAAACGGTCTGGTAATAATAACGCGGTTTATAAATGTTTAATTCAAAAGTCATAAATAAATTTCTTCTGTTTATAACTTTTGATCTAATCAATTTTTTTTTACGCTCGTGGGCTAGTTTTGTAGGTCTTTTGAAGACGAAAAAAAAAGTACTATACTGTTTTCTCGTGGAAATGAACGGAAAAAAGTTATAAGCGAAAAACGTGAGTTTACGTAAAAATTATACAATTAACCAGCCTTTAAACAATCTTCCCCCCATTCTTATGACTGTGGAAACTAATATGTTATTGAACATAATATTTAGCATCTATAGTGATAAATTCAGCTTGCCGAAACAAAAAGTCGCGAAATGGTCATTTTCCAGCTCTTTTTCCTGGCCTAATATTGCTTGTTTGATTTACTATGTATGTACTTGATCGCTAGCAACGAAATACTGCACATTCGAAAATTATGAAAAACGGACTAAAAAAGTATCTTGCTCCATCTAAGACGCAACATATTTGTTTGCTGTTTATTAATAATGTTTTCGATCTCGATTATTTACATATTATATTTGAGTATATTTGTCTGATTCCTAAAAAATAAATAAGCTTCGTCTTTCGCTTACGTCTAGTAAAGCTAAAATTAAATTTTATTATAATATCACGTTAAGTTCTTTAAAATGTAATGATTATTTCAGAGTTAATGTAAACAATTATTTGAAATTTCACTTAGAGCACATGAAAGGTAATACACAAAGATGTGAATTTTATAACGTCGATAAACGTTTTTTTTTTATAGTGAGATATGTAGACATGTTAAAGAAAAGTAAACAATAAACAAATTAATATTATTTTAGCAATTAATATTATTACCTATTAATTAGAGAATAAATGTAAAATTTATTTACAATTATTTTTTGCTGATTCCAAAGGTATGCTATATGTACAAAACAAAAATATGTTTATAACTAATTTTGTGAACGATTAGGTGTTTTTATTTCTCTGATGAGTACTTTTCCGAAAATAAAATAAACTTGGGCGCATGATTAACTTTTAACAACGCTCTCATAAGACAAAATCGTTTAAATTATGTTTTAATTGTAATATCAATAAAAGCCAAGGAACTATTGTTTAACGCAGAACTACCTGATTGTATAGACATTTTAAATCAATTACGGTAAGTATAAAAGATCGGAAATATACGGGGTATCTATCGAATTTGGCCAGAAATTAGTCATTAAAATAACTGGTATCGATGCATTTTTACCATGGTTACAAGTAAATGATATTTTTTTAAAAATATGTATACAGGGTGTAACGTAAAGGTTGGGAATAAATTAAACGGTGGATTCTTTAGTTTAAAAAATAAATTTTTGTCATAGGAAGTTATGCTCTACGGGTTTTCTTTTCCAAGCTACAGTGCGCTAAAAATTTCAAAAAATGTAGTTTTTTTCCAATAACTTTCGAACATTAGAAGATAATGGAATGAAATTTTATCCATAGCTTAATTTGATAATTCCCTAGTAACAAGAAAAAGATTGGCTTTTTTCCGTAAATAAAACTTTTGTAAATACCATTTTTTCCATAGGAAAATGAAAATAACAAAAACATTATGATGTATGCTTTGACTCAGTCACCGAAAATGGTCAAATAGGTATTAAAAAAAGACTTATTTGTATGAAAATGATATTAGAATATCACATTATTTTAATAATAATAGAAAAAACACTAGTGACAGGAATTTAAAGAATTTATTGAGTAGGTAATAAGAAGTAATAAACAACAAACAAGATTACAAGGTGCTGGAAATTTTGTCCCCCAACTTCAATACATTTTTCAATGCGTTTTCACATGGATTCTCTTACTCGTCCAAAAATACCAGGCATACCTATCTCGAATTTGCTGACAGCCCATTTCAACTCTGACGAAAAATCTGTACATCAGAAATGGGAACGGAATAAACTATGTTTTTTTAGTGCCCCCACACATAATAGTTTAATGGATTAAGTTCGGGAGAACGAGCAGGCCACACTCTTGGCCCTCCACGACCTATCCATTTATTGGGGAACGTTTCATTGATGTATTCTCTAACTTCTCGCCTAAAGTGAGCTGGGACGCCATCGTGCATAAACCACATGTTCTGGCGTGTTTCTATTGGAACTTCTTTTAATAAAGGTTGTAATCTGTTTTGAAGAAAATCCATATACGATAAGCCGCCTAGTCTGTTTGGTAGTATTATGGGACCAATAAAAAAATCG